CCTGATATTACAGAAATGGTTGCACAGCTAGTGGACACATTATTTTAAATCTTCCAGCGTTTCCTATATTCTGGAACTGTGCTCATAATTTGGAAGGGAGCAAACATGATCTCACTCTTTGAGGAAGAAGGGAGAGAGAAAACAGAGAACTACCAGACAGCTAGCCTGACATCAGCAGTAGGAAAATGCTTGAATCTACGATTGAAGCCATGTTAAGAGGGCACATGGAAAATTATGCTACAATTAGAAAGAGTCAACATACTTTTATGAAATGGAATTTTTGATTGACAAATCAATTGGATTTTCCACAATGCCTCAAGGATGTTATGTGCTGACTACTACCTGTTTGGGCTTGTGGTCAAAGATATTTTTCTGCATGAACATCTCCACAAGGAACAGATGAGAGGGCACAGTCAACTATTTGGAGTGTTCCACAGCAATGCAGCCCAGAATCATTCTTTGCAGTCTGGGACAGGTTGAACCTTAGCACCGAGTGACGCTTGGTGGTTGCATACAGAGGGTCTGCACATAGCTTGATGCAGCCGTATACAAAGGTGGCTATTTGGATGAGGACAATGTTGGGTATGCTTTCCCCCCTTTATCTACAGGTTTGTACATTCTGTTTCTCTGGTAACAGCTCATTTTCAACCTCCAGATAAGAGGAAAGAGGTTTGGGTGATTGCCACAGTATGGGAGTGAGGAAAATGCTAGGCCTGCGTGACGTACAGCAATTTCCCACTTTATGATTAGGTTCATACTCGCAATGGAGAGGCAGAGTACTACATACCCAGTTTTTGATTTACCATTTATTGTTACTCACTCCTCCCAGATGTTAGTGCATGTCTCAGCTCGTCTGAACCAGATCCCCAGCACCTTCGGTTGATCTGACCTGACAGTGAAAGGGAAAAGGATCACTCAGCCCAGTTCCCAAAGAACATGGCCTCACTCTTGCCTTGATTTACCTTGGCTGCCAAGGCCAGTTTGAACTGGTCACAGATGTGCATCAGTCTGTGCACTTACAGAGGATTTGAGCAAAGGGTCAGACAGTGTCCATGTACAAGGATGCTTTGACCTGAATATCTCCACTACCTGGGATAGTCACCTCTCTGATACCCATATCCTTCCTGATGGATTTGGCAAAGGGCTCCATACAACGCACAAGCGGGACAGTGGAGAGATAGCAGTCCTGCCTGACTCCAGGTTTTCTTTTTGCAAAGATTTCTGTTTCACTCTTATTAATGCTTGAATTAAAATTAGAATTATCTTTATTGTCATGAATTCAGTGAAGTCACCACTTATTGTGGCATCTTAGACACAAAGGTACTTAGGTATAGACACTTAAGGAAAAAAATAGAAAAAATAAAGAAATTAAAAGTCCAGCATTACAGATCATAAGGACAAATTAGAAAATAAAGAAAGAAAAAGTTCAGAATAACTGTTTGTGCAGAATAGTTGGATTCGATTGCAGATTCCCTCCACCATTCCCACTTTCGAGAGGTTGTACATCATGTAGGTGTATGATTCCTGTCAAAGGCCTTCTCTTAACTCAGGACATCTGCCCCACATATAGTGGTCATACCAATAGCCAGAGGCTGTCAGAAAATTTCCCTGTTGGGTACAGAACAAGTCTGGGCTGTTGACTAGTTGGCAATGGCCTTAGAATTTTGTAGTTCCCATTCAGGAGTGAGATGGGATGTTAATTTTTAACTTCCTCTATTTATCTTTCTGCTTCTTGGTGAAAGTGATGATGCCTTTCTTCGTTGGTTCAGACATGCAACTGGCCAGAAGCATCCTCTCGCCCACCTTCAGCAGTTTGGCTCAATCAGTATCACAGTATGAAATACAGATTGGCTAGTAAACCAATGCTTCAAGAGGTTTTGTTCTTCTGAAAAGACTCTTTACACTGACTGGTAAAGAGCCCTTTCTTTCAAGGAGATATCTATACATTGACTGGTGTCTCTCAGTACCCCTTCTCCTTCAGGGAGATATCTGTACACTGACTGTTGTCTCCCAGTTCCCTCTCTCTGTCACTTTCAGGGAGATATCTGTACATTGACTGATGTCTCTCAACACCCACTCTCTCTCAAGAGAGATGTCTGTGCATTGGCTGGTGTTACTTGTCCTGTACAGGTTGGATGACCAATGCTCCCTTTACTTCACCATCTCTCCAACTACATGATCTCTAGTTTGGTGCAATAACAAATCTTATTCCACGTGGCAAATATCCTGACTGCCAAGAACTGTACAATCTGAAGACAGCCCAGGACAAATCAAGCTGGTGAAAATGTCCCTACCTTAATCAGGCTCAGAGTCTTGATAAAATATCCCTGTCCCAGGCATCAGCCTCCTAGTGGTTTTACACTTCGAGTTACAGGCCTTTCATGGACAGAAATGCCAACCCCAATCTAGGTTCATATAAAATTATATGTTCCCATGGACATGGCAGCACCCTTTCATCACAATAAAGGTTCACTGGATCTCCTGCCCCTGCATGGGACAAGGGGTTTCATCTGGGCCCTTCACTGCACTGTAAGACTGCTATTTTTCATGGAAGCAATGGCTCCTTTGGTTGAACATTTGCAGGTGAGCCCAACTCGATATGACCAGGGTGCCTGCTTACTTTAACAAGTGTCTGGCTGTTAAGTGGTTCAAGTTGCAACAGGACCACCCTAATTGTCACCTCACTTCTGGTGTGGACTTAACATTTCAGCTCATACGTAAGCCAAAAACCTTTGACGTTCTGCACTTGTTGGAAGAGAATATTAAAGGTTGTGCTTCTGTGACTAGCAAGCCAAAGATTCAAATCTCACCTCTTGATAAAGAGTCAATATCAGTAAAACTGACAGTAAATCTGATGGTTGTTGTAGATGCCCATCAATGATCTTTAAGCAGGTAAACCTGCCATTCTTATCCTCGCTGGATCTGTAAATGACTTGAGGCCCAAGAACGTGTTTAACTCTCAATTCCCTCACGTGATCTCTACGTCACTCAGTTAAAGCATCTAGACAAAAACAATGAGAGTCTGGGCCACAGTAACACTTGTATCTCAAGAATGAACAAAAAAATTGCCAAATGGAAGCCAGTAGTTTCCTGGGACCCTTCTATGCCAGTTTTTCTTTGGCAGAAGGTTGCAGCCTCCTCAAAGGAGAGTAGGGCCAATGAGGTTAGACTGCAAGGGATACTAATGTTGATGCATCCCAGGCCTTTCATATATAACGAGTCTTCTGACAACTTTAAAATTAATGTAAGGGAGAACTGTTGACCCAAGGTCTCCTGCAGGACATTGACCAAGTTGAGATGTCAGCCATGATTCAGTGGGTACAGCATAAGGCCACACTCCATGCTCTTGAAAAAAAATGCAGGCTGACACTTGCATTGCAGAAATAAGGAGACACTGCATTGTAAGAGATGGTGTATTTTGGATTAGGCAGTCCCTGAGCTGAATGTGAAAGAATCTGTAATATTATATTGAAGAGCAGAGTCATCGTCAGGATCAAACTAAACATTGTCCAGATGTTCAGTCACTCTCCTTTACTATAGATTGAAATAATTTCTCTATGATAGTAGACTATCTGATCTTGAACTACTTCATTATCAACTCATCTTTTTTCTTACATTCCAAATCTTGTTTTTTCTTTTTGAATCTGGATTCTATTCAGCTGTTTTCATTCAATTATTCCAGTGGTTGAATGTAATTACTTACAACTTGGCACTAGCTTTCTCAATCTTGTCTATGTGTTTTACATTCTGATTTTGCCAAACTTCCCTTAGTTTCTTGAAAGGCTCTTTCTGAGCATAAAGCATAGAATATTTTTGTGTTGTTAGAATTTCTGTGCCTTCTGGCTTAGAAGTTAGAAGTTGTCTACAATCAGCTTTTTTAACTCAGCCAAAACAGCTTCCTTTCTCTGCTATCCCCTGGTCTAGCTGCTGTTTGAATTCTAAATATGCTGACTCGCACCCTTTAAGAAAGCTATATGTAGTTGATTCTTCAAAAGATACATCTATCTGTTTGGTGACCACGTTTATCACGTTTGTACTTGGAAACAATTATGAAACTTAAGCTGAACACTTGTACCCTCCCCCTCCCCACTGGGGCATTTAGTCAGATTGGGAGCATAGATGGGGACCACTGTCCCATCTCCACCCTGATTAAATCTGTGGTGAGATGGTGATTGGATGTCCTACTCACCCTGATGCCAATTGAGGCCTTAAGTGGGGCATTAACGCACACTTCATCCCACTGCCCCTCAGATTAACTCTCAATGCAGGGAAGACAACAAGAAAATCATGGCATGTTTGCTCTCAAGTACTCGATGCCTGATTGAGGGACCTGGTGAGACCCAACCCCATGCCCTTGATGCCAACTCCCTGCCAACCTTCACTCACAGTAAGTAGCAGCAGCAACCATTACATATTTTTGGTTGTCAGCTCTCGGCACGCACGATTGTGACCCACCACAGTCCTTGATTGTGTGGAATGCCCACTGTTGACCCGTTAAGTTCCTGAATGGCACATGACTCAGCAGGCAATGTGGCTCCAAAGCCAGCTGCTGGGATTAGCTTCACTTCCACAAGGGTCCTCCTCCATCACCTACACACTGAGTAAATAACTCCTGCATCACCAAATCATCTTTGTCTCTGGAGTGTTGAACTGTTACTATGAGGAAGTTGCTGTTGATCAAGAGCAAAGCGTTTTAAATATAGCAGCAAAACTGTAAAGGAAAGGCTCAAGGCTTTCAACTCTCCGATGGAACTCAGCAACTGTAAGACAAGATGACCTGCAGCCTTCACAACAATTATTCTGTTTGAGAGTACCTCTCCCTCAAATAAACTGCCAGTGAAAGCCTGGGAGTACACTCATTTACTGACAGATCCAGGATTGTCTCTCCAGGAGCAATATTTAACTGAATGATTTATTATAGTACTCAGGCTGATTGTGAATTAATTGCAATATTTAAAGAATAGCTGATTGCTGGTATGCACAACAAAAGAAACGTTTTCTAAAACAAATATCTTTATTTTGCTAAAGTAAATTGAAGCTTGGTACATATTCTGCACAGATCGAGGGGAGAGTTATTCTGTTGGCTCCACTTCATCTGCAGAGTTGGAATGGTCTGATAGGTGCTCAGCTTTATGCTTTGCCAGTTTTGCCATGAGTTCTGAAATAGAAAAGGTAAAATAAATTGTGGTATGTTGTTTTGTTTTACCCAGTATGCCTCTGATTCAATGCTCGAGGCAGCCTCAGTGCTCATGGGTCAAGAAGGAGGAAATAAAACCAAGTCCCAGTTCCCAATTCTGGTCCCTTATGCAGCAACTCCTGTTGGGGCAGAGAGTTTTCATTGATGTCAGGACCAAGTACGTTACAATGTCTATCTGCAGCTTGGCTCACTGTGTGCTGGGCGAGCAAGCGCATGGAGTACCAGGATGTGGAAGATCTTTGTCCCCATGGCCAGGGATATGAGATGAATTACAGTCTTCACCCTAGTAACAATAATTTACTCAGCAAGGGACAGATCTTGACATCTCTCTGGCATATTGGTCAGTACTGTTCACTGGGCTACAATGAGCCAAGGGTGGAACTTTCACAGCCCGACAAATTTGACAATGATTGTAAGCATGCAGCCTACTTTGGTCTCTTTGTTGATACAGGCTCTACACTATCATTTGAGTGTGACTTACAACAGAAAGCTGGAGTTGAATGCCTTAGGGAGTTAAGCAGAGGAAAGAGGTTTTGTGTTTTTCTTTGCCTAAATAAAGCAGCTGATTGGTGAATATTTCTAGTCCCTGAAGAAAGATCTTCAGCTTGTACTTCGGTCTCTAATCATTTTATTTCTCTTTCTTGTTGGTATAGGAGCGTACCCCCAACAGGGGACAATAACTCAAGAAGCAGGCAGGATTCAGGCAAGTGGAAGATGTTTATTCAAGCAAAAACCAGTTAATGCAGGGAGAGAATCAAACAATCTTACTCGAATCAGAGGGGAGATCAATGATACACTTGAATTTTACAAAGTACAGCATTTTTATTTACTTTGTGTTACAATACTCAAATACAACGTAGTCACTGTCCTTCCCCTTAATCCAAACACCCAGTCCCATAGGACGCCTTATCAATGAATGATAGGCATTCCTAAGGACAGCCTAGTCATTATACTAGTCATTGTAATCTCTGGGCCTTGGGATCTTTCTGTCCAGCTTATTAATTTCCATTCGAAAAGTTATTGGTTATACTCCTTCTAGTCTGTTCTAGATTTTCTTATCTTTAAGGGCTGTCTGAATTTTGTTATTCATGGTATTATGTGTGCCGCCTTTATCAAATTTAATCATTCCTTTCATATATAATTATATACGTAAAACAAAAATCAGTTACCAGCATGTGGAGGATCCTTGTCTCTATGGCTAGGGATCTGAGGTCAATTGCAGTCTTCACCCTGCTAACAATACTTTACTCAGTAAGGGACAGATCTTGCGATCTGGTTGTTGGTTTGCTTGCCGAGCCAGTTGATCCGTGGCATGCAGACGTTTCGTTACCATTCCAGGCAACATCATCAGTACGACCTCTAATCAAAGCGTTGGTGTTCTGCTCCGTTCCACATCTGTATGATTCTCCAGTGTGTTCCGGTTCTGTTTTTCAGCAGTGGCTTGTGTACGGGGTCTATTTCAAAGTGTTTCTTAATGGAGTCCTGTGTTGAGAAACAGGCCTCCGGAAAATCCCTTGCATGTCTGTTGTTTGCTTGTCCCAGCTGTTCTTACCCAAGCTGAGTCCATAGGTAACTTCAGATCCACACCAATGTGGTTGATTCCTAAATGCCCTTTGACATCACCTGGCAAAATACAGCTGTAACAAACTGTTACAAAGAAGAAAGCACACCATCATTCTCTGTACTGGGTAATATATACCAGGCTCTCCAATGACACCCACAGTCTGAGATTCAGTGTGTACTCACAGACTGTCCCTGAAAAATGATGCTCAAGAGGGAATGTGACACTTGGAAAGAAAACTCACTCCAAAAAACAAATATTGAGTGGCTACCACCAAATGCCAACTCACCATACTGCTGGAAGTAAAGGCATGAACGTGCACCTTTGGGAGTAAAGGCATGAATGTGCACCTTTGGCTGGGTTGAAGACTCCATTGGTCTGCTCATCACACACATAACAACGCTTGGATTTGCAGTAATGCTGCAGAGCACAGCTTTCACAGAAATAGTGTTTACATCCGATGATTACAGGATGGGCCAATGGACCAAGGAACAGCAGATGGAGTTTAATTTAGATAAATGTGAGGTGTTGCATTTTGACCTAGGGGTTCTGGTGCATATGTCCTTGCAGGTGGAGTTGCAGGTAGAGAGGGTGGCGAAGAAGGCATTGGTCAGTGCATTGAGTATGGGAGTTGGGACATCATGTTGTGGCTGTACTAGACATTGATGAGGCCACTTTTAGAATGGAAGAGAGCAAAGTGGGGCATATTTTAAGGGTAAGCGTTTAAGGAACACTGATCATAATATTATCAATTCTCAAACGGTTTTGGAAAAGGATAAGGAAAATCCAACCATAAATATACATAACAGAATCACAGATCTTATGGTGCAGAAGAATGGAATTTAGCCCATCGTTCCTGCTCTGGTTCTTCAAATGAGTTTCATTAACTAGTCCCAATCTCCTGGCTTTTTCTCCTGCATTTATGCATTATTTTTGTCCAAATAATTGTCCAATACCCTCTTGAATGCTGCAATTGAACATGCCTCCAGAGCACCTTCAGGGTATTCATACCCTAACTATGCATTGAGTGAAAATATTTTTTCTCACACTACTGTTGCTTTTTTTTCGCAAACATTTTACATCTTGCCCTCTCATTATTGTTCCTTTTATAAGAGAGAATATTTTCTCTCTATCTACACTATTCAGCTCGCTTGTGATTTTGATTCCGTTAATTTGAAAATCTCCTCTTAGATTTCTTCTCCACAAGGAGAATGGTCCCAACCTCTTCAAACTATCCTCATAACTGAAGATTTCATTTCTGGACCAATTCTCATAAATTGCTTCTGCACTTTCTCAAATGCATTCACATCTTTCCTATAATGTGATGTCCACAACTGTACACAATACTCCAGGTGTGGTCTAACAAGTGTTTTATACAAGTTCAACATCACCTCCTTGTTCTTTCCTTGAATGCTGCTACTATCAAAGCCAAGAACACTGTATACTTTATTAGCCGCTATCAACATTTATACTGCCACTTTCAACGATCGGTGCCCATACACCAAAGTCCTTCTCCTCTTCCCTTTAGAATTGTATCCCCTATTTTATATTGTCTTCCAAAGTTCTTCCATCACCTTACAGTCTCTGCATCGAACTTCATCTATCACCAATCCACCCACTCCTCCAATTTGTCAACATCCTTTTCGAGTCCCATACTATCCTGCTTTCAGTTTACAATTCTTCCAAGCTTCTTGTCATCTGCCAACTTTGAAATGGTCCCTGCACACCAAGGTCTAAATCACTGGTATATATTAGAAAAAGTAAGGGTTCCAATATCAACCCCTGGGGAACTGCAGTACAAACATTCCTTCAGCCCAAAAAATATCCATTGACCATTTCTCTCTATTTCCTACCACTCAGCCAATTTTGTATCCACATCTCTACTGTCTCTTTTACTCTTTATAACATTCCTCACAAGTCTGTTGTGTGGCACTGTATCAAATTAATTCTGGAAAATCCATGTGTACCACATCAACAGTGCCTTGTAGGTGGTAGATTGCCTTTGGGAAGTCATGAGGTGAGTTACTCACTGCATCCTAGCCTCTGATTTGCTCTTGTTGCCATGGTATTTGCATGGCTGGTCCAGTTCAATTTCTGATCAATGGTAGTCCCTAGGATATTGATAATGGGGATTCAGTGATGGTGATGCCATTGAATATCCAGGGGTGATGTTTAGATTCTATCTTGTTGGAGACGGTCATTGCTTTTATTATATGTACATATTATGACTGAGTTCTGTGAGCCTCAGATAGAAGACTGACTGAGCACCATACTACAGCAAACTGACAAACATCTATTAACTATTTATACTAGGATGGAGACATAGTACAGCAGGACTTCACTAGAATAGTCTTCCATCAGCTTCCAGTTCCACATGATCCAACATCATTCATCATGCAACTTGGCAATTCACACATAACTATCAGTCCTGTACAATACATCACCTCCTTCACAGGTAGTGAATTATAATTCCTAATATTCCACATGGAAATTTTTTAAAAAATTATCCTTTCATGGGAGGAGGTAGTTGTTGCCGTAATTGCCCTTGAACTGAATGTTTTGCTTGGCCATTCAAGAGGGCAGATAAGAGATAACCACATTACTGCGGGTCTGGAGCCACATGTAGGCCAGACCTGGTAAGGAGGGCAGTTTCCTAAAGGGAGCAAGAAACCAGATGGGTGTTTACAACAGTTGATAGTTTTGTGGTGACCATCACTGTTTTATATTTGCCTACTTTAATCTTTAAATTTCCTCTCACCAAGGTATCCCCACTGAGTGATTTGCTTAAGATGGACGCCCCCAATGTTTGGAGATGTTGACCACCAAAACTTTTTAATTCTTTCAAGCAGGTTCCATCTGTAAAACCTTGCTTTCTGCAATACTACATACCAGGAATGTCACGATTTACGAAGTGGTTGCATCACAAAAAGGCTTAGGCATGTGTATTTTGCAAGATGAGAAAAACTGTGACTCAAAAACCCCGACAACTGTGCAGCTAGATATTCTAAGATAGAATACGAGACATCACATCTGCTATTTAGCACCATGCTGCCTCACACCTACTTATTGACCAAGAAATTCATTTTTGAAACAGAGCATAAGCCATTGGAAATGAACTGCTGCAAACCGCTAATAAGGGCATTGCCAATTTTGCAGGGTCTAATTGTCAAGATGCAAGATTATGATTTGAAGTGAGATATGACACATGAACAGGCAGTGAATAGAGGGATATGGTAGGTGGGGTTAGATTGGAATGGCATCATGGACAGCACAGACATGGTGGGCTGAAGGGCCTGTTCCTGTGTTGTACTCTTTTGCGTATCTGCATGTATCTATGAGCAAGATCTCAGGGTGATTACATCTGACACACTGAGCAGACTACCCAACCCATACAAAGACCAAGATATTCCTTTTGATCTGCATATTGATGGTGTTGACTGTGAAGCTGAAGATGTTCTCAAGATTGACCTCAAGGTTCACACTTGGACCAAAATCAGTGTGTACAGTTGCAGTCGGTAACTGAAGATGAGCAACTACAGGAGTTGTAAAACAAAAAATCATTTAGGGACAGCCTGGAAGTTTTAAAAGAAGTACCTGAGAACATTCATTCATTGTGGCCATACCAAGCCAGACAAGATGTATCATGACAAGTCATTTTCAAGGGTAAACATGTCCTAATGCAAAAACCTTACACTTCCTTACACATGCCCAAGTTATGCCAGGGACACCTGACTATTGAACGCAAAAGGCAGCTAGCTTGTTAATTGTCCAGGATCAAATAGAGTCCGACAGTGGGTCACTGTGCACTGGAAATCATTTAATGACATGTGTAATAAATGGGGAGTGACCCATATCATCACCCCATTTCCACACTTGCTCATTTCCAGAATATATAGTACATACTTGCAAATCAATTGTCATTAAGGATTGAGCAGAAAAACTAGAAAAGCAAAATATTTTAACATTACATTGCTGCCTTTCGTGCAATACCAATGGAGAAGAAATTACCACCTCCAGCACAAAATATGTTCAAAAGGCAAGTGCAAATGACCTTGCCTAGCATCCTACTGACTAACCATTCCGACACACCGGATATTCTCTTTCTAATACAGAGAAGAATGGCAGAGGTCCACAATTAACAAGCAAGTAGAGAACCACCAGAACTGCACAGAAGTGCAGTTGGAGACTGCAAGTAGAGAGTGCATATCAGAAACACAAATGCAAGTACCTGGACACTGGCAAAGATTTCTAAATATGTAACCAGCTCAGATCATACAAAGTCATTCTTAGTCATGGTGCTACATTTGAAAGGATCAAAAACCAGCTCAGACGAATGTACGACATGCCAATCATGCACAAAATAATGAGGAAAACACTCTAATGATGATGATTGTGTGGCGATGTTAGATGACAGCTACCAGTAGCAAGACAATCAAGTTGTCAAACGGGTACAATAAAGGAGAGTGTATATCTTTCCAGACAGGATTGCAATAATCAGGTCAGGACGAATTGTCATTCCTTCAAGGCATTACATTGAAGTTTGAAATGTTAGTTTTCAAATCCTTTTGAACTATTTGTGTAATTATTGAATTGATGATATTTCCCCAAGTACGTACAGTCATTTCCCCATCTCCATGATGATTCCATTCCTGAGAACCCCCGTGAATGATGAAATTTGCAAGGGCAGAGCTCATTAAAAATAAGTTGAAATGGTTAAAAATATCATGGATATGTGATTTTATTCCAGCAAATGTTGATTTTTGTTGTTACTTATTTTTTGGTGCAGATAGGCGAATTTGCAATTCGTGATTTCACAGATACAGAGGATTTACTGTTACTTGGGATATGTTTGGAAAAAATGGGCTGCTGTCTTGTGTCTCACAGTCAGTATGACAGTACTCCTTTCAGAGACATGCTCATGATATCATCACAGTATCTTAGCATTAGATCTGAGGCTATAAAGATCTCATATTCTATGTTACATCTGATCACTTGAAGTATAATACTCTACTAGAAACCATACTCTTCTGATGTAAGCAAATTGCTTAATATTAGTCCAGGTACCTAAGTGCCTGAGAAATGTAATTTTAATTATGATAAAAGTCTGTTGGATTCTTCAACACTACAACATCAGCACTCAGTTTCTTACATTATGGGAGGGAACATAAACATTGCTGCATCATGTAAAACATCCTGTTGGAAGCAAACTCACATCAGTTAGTCATAGCTGGTCTGCAATGATGGAAGGGCCAAGTACATCAGTGCAAAAGACAAAGTTGAAGCATTTTCATCAATCTTCAGCCAGAAGTGCCAAGTAGATGTTCCATCTCAACTTCCTCCAGAAGCCCCCAGCATCACACACGGAACCAGCAGAAATAGCTATGGGCCCTGACAACATTCTGGTAACAGTACTGAAGACTTGTGCTCCAGAACTAGCCATGCCTCTATCCAAGTTGTTCCAGTACAGCTACAA